ACCAGGATAACTCCCAAGCACACATAAAAACCATCTTGCTGTATGCCAATAGCAGGGTTAGTAAACTGCACAGGTAAATCCCTGGAGATGAGGACTCCCCGTGAGCAGGCGTGTTCAGGACATGTTACCTATCTTATGCATCTCTCTGCAGCAGCTTTTCAAACAAATGTGACTGCAGAAAATAAGAAGTGACAGGTTTGCAGGTGCCCGTAGCATCAGACCAGATATCTGTCCCATGCAGGCCCTGTCCCAGGGGAAGGGGCTGCAGAGAGGAGCAGAGATGCTGCAGCAGAGACTGATCCTTCTCCCGCCGAACCCTCCCATTCCCCCCCACCCGCAGCTAGGGGCTTGCCGAGCCAGCACTCGTACCCACTGCGTTGCTTTTAAATGCTGGAGATGAACTGTTCTTCCTTGAATTTGCCTAATTGCTTTTTTTAATCCATTTACATTGCTGGCACTCAGACAGTCTAAGGCAACAAGCGTATCCTACGCAAAAGCCAGAGACCAAATGCAAATTGAAGCGAACTCAAGAGAAAGTTACGTACCATCCCATGATACAAATTTCCATTCTCTTTTTATAGCTTGTGGAGATAATACCGAGTCTGAACAAATACAAAAGACAACTCTATAGCTTGGAGCTGCACCTTGCCAGAGATGTTACGGTCCTGGAGAAGCCGAAGCTCTCTCATCCTCCCCCTTGTTGCTTGGATACAACAGTCATCAATTCTCACTACATTCACTACAAAACAATAGAAATTCAGGATCATCTTAATCCATCACAGCACTGTCAGGGAGCCACTACACCCCTGCCCACTGGTACTCACTTTCAGTGACAACACACACACAAAAATGCCATGTGCACAGGGTGGCACAGGATAATAAACCCCAAGGCTGCCTGCAGGACACGATCCATCAGGCTGATTTTGTCATTTCAGTGGTGATTTTACCTGGGCAGCAAACTCCTACGCGGCAGTTTTCAAAATAAATAACAACACACAGCAGAGCAAAGTCCTGTCAGCTGCCAGTTTGCAAAGACTCATTCTCTAACCACAACCAAAGAGCATTTGAAGGGAGTGATGATGTCTTCAAACCTGAATGTATTTACTCATGATTACCCAAAATCAGCTCCAATTTGGGACACTGATCCCAACCACCTGTAACTCACTGCATGCTTGGAGGAAGGGATGGACTGGCCCTATAAACCCTTGAGGAGGAACCTGACTGCCGTCCCGCAGTGACAGTAATGATCCCAATTACAATGAAAAAGTAAAAATCTTAACTGGGGCCAGGTGCTGCAGATGCTGCATGAACTCAAACCAAAATCCTGCTGCCTGCTCCCCAAGAGTTGTTGGCACTGCTTCTCCCCTTCGGGGCCGAAGGCTCCTCGCAGTGCTTGGGGTGCAGGAAGGGGTGCTAGGGATGCAGAGGACCCGTGCCGGGGATGCCCTGGAGCAGGCACACCCCACCGAGCCCCCTGAGGTGGGGCTTTGGGCAGGGTTGTGGAGCTGCTTGGACGGTCCTGGAGCAGCACCTTCATGCTCGAACAGGCTTTGCCAGAGCTGCTGCTCACGGGGCACAGCCATTGCCATGGAAGAGTAAGCTGTGCAGTAAGAAACCTGCGGGACAGCAGTTGGATTGGCCCGAAATCATCTTGGCTTTGTGGAGGTTTACCACCACCTTCCCAGCAGCGTATTTGTGCCTTCATTTTCAGAAAGGACTGGTTTATATTCCATTTTTAATGAGAATGGGAAACATTTTGTAGATGAAGAAATAATACAGTCCAGCTATAGCGTTACCACAGACCGGGGCAGGTTTATGTCAGAGCTGCCTGCTCAGCTGTTGATAGGGTTTCAGAAAATCAGCATGGGGATATTTGTACCAGGATAACGGCCCAGGCTAAGCCTGCAAGCTTTCCCGGACCTTCCCATCTAACCTGGGATCATCACTGTCCCCATTGCACCTGTTGCCTCTTGGCCGTGCCATGCTGCCATCCAGGCGCCCATCCCGGCACCCTCACCGGGAGCCGTGGCAAGTGCTCAACAGCAGCCGCCAGCTCACCGGCTTTTCTTCTTGTTCCTTCTTCCCAGTAGGTGGAAATGCCCCCACAGCCTAACTCCCCTTCAGGCAGGGAAACAGGCATGACTTCACGGGCGGTGTTGGGTAGGGTCGCCTCCTTCACTGCGTGGAGGGAAGGTGAAGCCCAGGTGCACACCATGCCAGCGTGCTATTGATAGGGAGGGATTGCACATCCTTGGGGTGTGCAGCTCACACAGGGGCAGACGGGTATTCACGTTTGTCTGGGCAGCGCAGACCTCAGCCGCTGGTACGGGCTGAGGATGTCAGAAATTGTCAGTGCAGAAATTGGATCCATGCTGTTGCGTTTGCTCCCAGAGCAGAGTGCAGGGACGGCTCTGACAGAGAACTCGCATTGTCATCGCTGGCCGTGTGCCTCGTCAGCCTCTCCCCGCAGGCTGGCATGGCAGGGAGGTTTGTGCTCGGAGGTTGATGTACCGTGGTGAGCAATACCTGCCCCAGCCCCCCTCCCCTCGGCAGGTCACGTTGCTGTACAGTGACTGTCAGTAAGCTGAGAATCGAGTTTGTTTAATTGACAAAGTGCTTTGCTGTTGACTACAGAGGAGCAGGACAGTGTCTGCTTGATATAGTGACAAGTCCAAGAGGGAAACGGAGCCAGGAAGGCTACCCACCG